CATGCAAATTATCTGTTAATGGGCTTATTTCTTGCCCAGGCACTACTACGGGCTAACCATCCACACAGTTCCAGTTCAATCCTACTTCACAGCAAGATAACTCACTTCCAATGTTACTGTCTTGTAGAAACTGGATTTTTGAAAAGGTTGGACTTGTAGTCCCCCCCACCCCTCAATAGTTCCGTCTGTCGTGAACTTGTAATACACACTTCAAGTGTGTCAATGAAAAGACACAATTTGAGGGCTTCAGCTGATGTGATTTACCCTAAGTCGCGAAGGACATCAGCCAAGGTGATTCCAACCACTTCTGGGTTCAAATCCCAGAGAGTCATAAAACCAAAATCCTTTTCACAGAGGACAAGCTCCCTGACGGAATAACCTCTCAGTAGCAACAGACTCTACTCTGAACAGTCGAGACTTCCTGCCACGACAAAATTCCCGTTAGCATAAGCACACCTCCGTTTCAGTTTTAAGGCTCCGTATACCATTTCCAGCAATGCGTTTCGTACGCATGAATGGTGTAACCTAGCACGGAACGATGTCTTAGCTTTTTGGTTGGTTGGTAGAATTTCAGGGTAACCGTCAGACAGATCGCACCCGGGAGCATACGCTGGTTTAACACGTCGTCTGTATTAGCACTGTCACAGAAACAAAGCAAGTTCACTGAATTTTACTATCAGGAACCGTAGTTTTAAAAACTTGGTTCACAGGGAAGTTATTAATAAGGCAGTATGTAAAATTTACATACTTAAGAGCTAACATTTCCATAGCGTCAACCGTTGTGTAAAATAAACATGAGACCATTTCCAGAGACCATCTTCGACTGGTGTAGTCGTATACAAAATGTTTTGTGCGTGTCACCTGCAATTCGAAAGTTAAATAATTTCTGGCACAGTAAATAATCCTAATTAATCGCCAACATGTGTTTACTTAATATCGATATATCGACCACATTTATCAGCTCCAAACACCCCTGCTTCCGCCACCCGAAACGGAGGATCTTAATCTTGTTAAGAAGACGACAAAACCATCAAACGAATACCTTAAACCACAATTCGATCAAAGAGGACGTGGACAGTTACTAAATGGCATTCATGGTGATGGGTGTACAATGAGATTACGAGATGAAGGTTACGTTGCAAAACAAATGTATTCACTGCTCATACGACACTCTTGCATGGCTTGACAGTAAACAGTTCCTTATTCTCAAGGACCAAACAAATTTTTGTAGCGACAGGTTCTCGACTAATTGCTATACCAGATACTAACGAGTAATGGCAGCCAGAGTTGCCTCATTGCTACAGAAATGCTTATCAAGACATCGACTGCGTTGTCACATTCCAAAATATTGTACATTTCCATTTCGCTACAGCGCATCGCTATTTATGGTTGCTTACATTAAACTATTGATTAGAAAATATCTCCACGTCATTTTAAAGTGACGAGTTGGTTTATTCCGGTTTTCTGCCAACCCTGCATCCGCGTCAAGCCAGACTAAAACGAGCTGTCTACAGTCAGTGTTTCCATTAGCGTGAAGCATCTTAAGCACCACAGGACCGGTTACGAAACTGGTTTAGTTATTCCTTCGTTACTCTAACTCAGTAGGACAATGAATATACGTCACACATATGACACCACAGGCACAAAATTACCAACTCATGAAGATACATGTTGACCGTGTTAGCCCGGCTAAGATTTTGGAAAACGGCAAATAAAGTCTTAATTTCATGGTTCATGACACACAAGAGAATAGATTCGATAAGATGCCAGGAGTAGTTAGCCATCTAATTGAGGTTAACTCTCGCTTTCCGTTCGCGCAGGTGCAATTAGAAGACGCATGATACGCTATTGTATTGGGTTGCCGGTAGGAGGAAATGAGTGACATTCATAGCTCTGACGTTAGTCACTCTCGGATTGTTAACAGGTACCTCCGTGTTGGAGTTTCACGAAGAGCCCTGCATCATAATTCTTGCTATTTTAATTGCGTGATCTTTGTTACACGCATGTCGTTTTGTGACATGTGCAACAAGATGAAGTACGATGCATAATTTAGCAAGTATTTTTTTACACACACCCCCCTCCCCACAACGGGATCTGACTTTTGAAAAGTCGCGATCGGCCACGGAAAAGAATCAGTATGTACTGATAATTAAATGCGACCACTAAATGAACCAACACATACTCGTATTAATTAATGACTTCCTGAATATAAATGGGTTGACATCTATTACATAAGATATAAACTCAAGCAGGACCCCACGGCCAAGGTCAACTTTTCAATAGTTACCTGGCGTCCTCGATTTTCATAGAAATTACCCAATTAAGCCGTACTGTGTACTCTACCATGTTTCAACATTCCTGTCCTACATGTGTGTATGGGTGATATCCTTTACCGCTACGATGATCCTGCATATCTGCGAATGGCAGAAACATAGACGTCAGAGCATTTAGTACTTGGCTCAATATTACCAGAACCAGAGAAACTTGCCCGCGTCTACAAAGACTTGAATGGTATATGGCGACATACGACAAGCACACCAATAGTACAACACACATACGGTTATTCTGCAACATCTCTCCACATTCACAGATATTATATTAGCTGGACAACGCCCGTTGAAACAAAACGGGGAACTACTTTTCCTTAATCCATTCTTCCTTTCCTATATCCGTTTCCTTCCAGTATTTCTCCCGTATTTCTTTCGCATCACTTTCAAACTTAAACAATTAAAAATATCTGCAATGACATTGTTTCAACGTTTCCGTCGCCCATTTAGAATGACAGTTGCCTAAAGGTAGCAGCATTTGTAAAACATTCTGTCATCTAGCGTCATCACTCAGTACTTGAATCAATAATGCACAACACACAGATATAAAGAGTATATACTGTTTTTAAGTATTGATACATAAGGGTGCAAAAGTCAGTAAACAACTGAAATAAAAATACACTTGAATGTTATTCCTTACGATTTCGCATTTAATTTAATTACTACAAATATCTTCAAACGTACATACATAAATACTATTTTACTTTTAAGTTTTCAAAACGGACTCTGCACGTTGATACAACTTTGCGGCCTGTGATGGTCAGTGTGTCCTGGCTTTTGCGCCACCTGTATTTTGTAGTTCCCTTCCTCACAGGTTTCTTACTAATGAAATACCATATTAACCACTCGTAATTCTACAGTACTCATTCGCACAAACACTGCGTCGGAGGAAAGCCGTGTCTGGAGCGAGGGCTCTGTTCCGAGTGCGTGTTGTTTACTCATGTTACGTCACTAGGCTGTATCACCTCTCCAGGAGAACGCTTTGGTTGGGCTGGATTATCTCTTGATAAGCTTGCGACAGACCACCGCTTACATAAGCGCTCTCACAATATTCCACAGGCTTGGGTTGTCTCAGCGTTTCGTATGAACGAAGCCGTTATAAAGTTTGTCTCGAGTAACGGGGAAGTAAGACCACGTGGCCTATTTAACAAAGCTCAATTCTGTATTTCGCCTTAACTACAGTTGACCATGAGAAGTCTTGGAATATAATTCACCTCAACGTCCAAGATTCCAATCTATAACCACTCAGGTCAAACGGAAACTTTTTGAAAGGTCATCGTGTTGGGTTCGTTCGAAGCATAATTCAGACAACACATAAATATATTTTGTTCATTCGGATCTATTTAACGACGCTTTCTGTTGCACAGAATAGCTACATCGCGTCGAAGAGATGAACAGTGAACGACCTACAGAAGGAAGCGGTCGTCACTTTCCCGGCATTTTCCAGGAGTTGCTGAGGTAAAGCATGAACACCCATTCAGGGTAGTCTGTCTCCGACACGAGATTTAAACTCGGGGGCTCCCAAAAATGGAGTAACAACCACTCGACCGCGAAATTCGTCAATAAATATAATGTGATGGACGCAAAGTGCAGTCGGTTACGCTTCTAAAACAATGAAAATGTTTGGTTCTGCTCAAAATCTACAGCACAGAAATAGCGCTTACATAAAAACTAAAAGGGCGAAGTGACATTTGCCATGGAACTTGTCCAACATCTTGTTAAACAGGTAATCATTCACCTCAATTATTTTTCGTCGTTGCAGACATACTTTCAGGACACAGCTCACCATACATTATTCTTCCACAGATTGTTCATCAGCTCATTAGAATATAGTGCCACAATTTAAAAAGCATGTGCCTAAAGACACTTTCAATAACAACTTTCTTGGTCGTGATATACGACAGTCAGTTATGAAACTTGTACACTCCTGATTTTTCAAATAGAAAGTTAATGAGCAACCATAAACATTCCTATATTCAGTTTTTTACGTCATGCAGTATGTAACTATACACAGCTTGAGGTAGGCTTCAAAACAATGTACGGTAACATACTACAAACGATTTAAAAACAATGAGATGCTAACCATGTGTGCAGAAGATGCGATAGGCAAGCAAAACATGATTCATGAAAAAGATTCAGTCATGAGTTGGACTGATTATTAAACATCTGAATCATTAAAAGTAACCAGTGTTATATTATTATGCTTTCTGATAAAAGTGTGGCCAGACTGCTAAAGTCCTTATCGACACAGCTGACAGGTGTAACGAGTCAGTTTCTAAACACTGAAAAAGCAGGTTTGAAATCACTACTGCGATTGTCAATGTTGTACTTTACGTACGAAATAAACTCTTAAAAATAATTCCCTTCTAGAACCTTGCACGTCATGAAAATTACAGAAATACAAAATCGCCTAGATATTATTTATCAGACTTCTCCTATTTACAGGTTCCATATTCTGTGTGACGCATTCGGCAACGTCTAATCAGTGAAATACAAGAGAAACATGTCTATCAGCTGTCTTAACGATTTCGTTATCAGTGTCCAGCAACATCCAGATTAGGTACTTGAAGAATCCCGCGAAGTGAAGTACGCCTATATTTCATACAAAGCAAAAGCACATGGACTAAAACTAGCACTTGATAAGGGAAATATCAAATTAGAAAACAGCATTACCTGGCGATTCTTGCCGTGCGGCGTGTGATGCTGTGATTCGGTTGCCATGACAACCCGCTTACCGCCAGAGACCCGGCAACACTACCGCCGTTCGTTCTTTTGCTTCTCGTTTTGGCCACTCGATTCACTGAGGCAGCACGTGCGCAGACACTACGCAGGCGCAAACGAGAAGCCGTAGACTGCGATGACGTCATTACTAAACCTTCCATACTTCCAAACGCAGGTCCAACCAGACGCACACACTGCTGGTGAGTGGGCAGCAGTTCCGATTGTAAAATCTTCTCTTCCAATTGTATTTCCTTCTACGTCGTCTTCTTCCCCATGACTTTCTTTCTTATTCTTTCCAATTCCACATGCCCCCTCTTCAAGGAAGACTTTATTTTCAATGATGACAGCATTTATGAAGATACTTGTAGACAAAATGTTTGTTTGACCTTCGTCAATTCATTCATTCAACAAGCATGAACACACGCCACTAAAAGCGAATCACTTCTGCAAGTACAGACCATATTATGAGTCCTTTTATGCACAGTTCTCCCTGGGTTTGCCTCACACATCCAGAGCACGCGTGTCCGCCGAGAACGACAGATATGAAAAGACTGAACTCAGACAAACATTGGCTCGGCCCAACACCTCCCAGATAGATAACTCCCGCAGCAGCAACAGCGATTTTAGACACAAGCCCCCTCCACCCCTACCCACTCCCCCCCTACATCTCCTGCCAGCAGCAAATGATGCTGCTGCTCCTGTAAATGTTCCATTCGTATCATGGACTTTGGTGGAGGTTTGTGACGTCACGTGCGCCTTGAAAACGTTGCGCTGAGCCAACGGGATTGCTTCTTATTACTGATCGACAATTTTCTTTCTCACTCCAATATTCGAGGTCTTTCTAATAAAAAGTTGCTCAGTGGACTACAAAATTAAATACTTCTAAAATCAGGACAATAGTTACGCTACGGCTATCGGGGAGAAAAGAAGCAATGTCTTCTCATTGCTTCAACATGAGAATCGCACTCAACCTTCAGTCAATTGCGTACTATATTTTGAAGGTTAGTAAGAACGGGGACAAATGCTATCTGTTTCATGCGCTACAAGCACAAATCCACTAATAAAACTAAACAGACAACACATGAAAGCCACGGGTCTGCAAACATCCAACGCGGAAAGCTAAACGAATCACACTGCAAGGATACGTGTGTGAAGGCCTGCTCTACAAACACATGCGCAGTTAAGCAGCCCTTAACAATGATTCGCCGCACACATAAATATTATTCCTCGGAATGCGTGTCAATTTTAGCTAGCAAAACGCTCTGGTTTGATTTCTCTAGTTGCCTTGATAAATATTTCATTATTATCTGGAATCTCTACCTTTAACGTTCAAGATATTTGAATAAAAATTTACTTGGATATTATCCATCGTCTAGTAAATATAAAACGTAAAACGACGTTTTGGAGATGGGACTCTATCTCCGTCTTCAGGTTCCTACACAGTTGCGCCCACTAGATAGAGCTAATCCCTATCTCCGAAACGTCGTTTTACGTTTTATATTTACTAGACGATGGATAATATCCAAGTAAATTTTTATTCAATTGACTCCTCACCATCGTCAAGAAGTTTTAGATTTGATATCCAAGATATTTATTTCGAATTTCAAGGACGCCAGACCATTTCTTAACAGTTCCAATGCTAGTGGCTTTCTATCCAATTCTTGGACGTTCCGGTTACACCGATCCTTGTTATATTTCACTTAACGTTTAACGTCTTCGAAACTCGGTTTATAAGTTGTCTCAACAACGCAGGTAATGCAATTTAAATACGTAATGTATAAAGTGAAGGTTTCGCGGCGACTGAAGTTGATGAAAGGCTCTCGGGTTACAAGACACGTCAAGTGGCTGAATGGGCATAAGATATGGTTTATTCACCATTCAGTCACCTGACGTAGCTTGTAACCCGATAGTCATTCATCAATTTAAATATTGTTAAAATAACTTTTATTTCAACACAAAGAAAAAATATCTGATGAAACAACACAAGAATTAGTTTTCCTCAACAGACTTATGGTTCTCTTAAGTACTTCGTATAACGTATTCTGCGTCATCATCGAAATATTTAAGGAGTTAATAAATTTTCTGAACAGATAATGTCGGAACAACCCTTCACGCCTCTTATACTACGATGTTTTGAATCCGCGTAATTTTTGCAAACTATACAGATTCCACTATTCCCGTTCCAAATGAATATTTAATGACGAACAGCTGAAAGATGAGAACTACAATGCACAGCTGGCGGAGAGGAATCACGAATCGAATCTCAAGCGGAAGCGGAGGACAACGGACAAACAGGAAGAAACTTTTAAGGGGGATGATTTGTGCAAATACTGAATAAAATAGGAGGAAATGAGCCTGATTCCTTAATAAACTGGAGCCGACGTAGCGCAGTGAATGGCAAGGGTGTGATTCCCGAGAGGGCAAGTGTTTTCTTGTCGCCACAAAGTCTGCACCGGCTCTGGGGCCTACCCAGCCTCCAGTCCAGTGGATACAGCGGGGGTACAGCGGCCGGGTCGTAAAGCTAACGACGCTAACCACTTTACCTCCACTGCCCTACACGTCTGTATAGTGGAGTACTTTGTTAAGTAACAGGGGAAGCTTTGTAGGATTTGTGGTTCCATGCCGTGAGAACTTCACATTTACCATTACAAATTTACATCCATCCAACATATGGTAGCAATGCAAACTTGCTGTAAACTTTTACAGTTTATTAATTAAATTTGTCGTAATTGTATACATCACATGACTTTAATATGGTCTTAAGACACATTGCTTATCTATAAACGATAGTTGGTAATGCATTACTTAAAGTATAAACTACGTGATTAAGTGATGATGCTATTTTGTTTTGAAATGGCGCAAAAAGTAACCATTGAATTAAACTTGTCGCAAGATATATCCAAGCTTCGTTGGCAGTTGTAAATACGAACGTTGGGGACAAGCCATCTGAGCTCCATCATACCTTCCACTCTTACTGTGATATAGGCCAAGTTCGCGGAGGGGAGGTAACGTACGAGTAAATCACACAAAGTTCATACAAGGTCTAAATAAACTAACTCCATGGAGAATAACAATTTTTGAAATTCTGACAGTCGCTCACTTGCTCAAGAAATAAGCTGCCCTTTATTATTTTCGCAGTTTCAACGCGCATAATATTTTCTAGGAAGGTGCGGAAAAGGAAAATTGAGGATGGACTGTGTGTATGCCTAGCTGTTCCAAACGAACGACTGTCTAAAACCACCTTCACATTCTGCGCCCTCACCCAAATGTGAAGGTGAATTTAAAAAAAATTAACGTAGAGTCATATGACGAGGACTGAACAATTATGATAAGGCCTATTCATTAAATAATGTACTCGACATGTCCGTATATTTAAAATTGCCTTCGTTATGATTGAACACCCACACATGAGTTTGGTAATGTGTTGTTGCCAAATTATGTTTCTGGAAACAAACACTCGATTCGATTAACTCCAGTCTGAACCACATACCCGAGTTCACCACACCCCAAAATAATAAATTCTGTTTCTTACTAGTTAGTCAATATGAAGTCGTTAGTGACTGGCCGCTCAATAGTTCTGTGATGTTTAAAATATCCCAGTAAGTAGGTCAAACAATAATTCTGTAGCGTCCAGTCATAACAGTGGTATTTGCTCCAACCGTTGTAATGCAGCCAGACACAAAAACAAAACCATTTTCTTAAATTCGCCGACGAAAGACCCCATTACCAGTATCTGCTTTAATTAAGAAAGGCGGTCAACGAAGTGTTTTCTAATCCCCTCCCCAGGCATTTGAGGGAGGATACGAACCCCACCTTCCCACTTCCCCCCTCGGCCAATAAGTTTTCCCGTTGGACCCAGGCGCCAATAAACCCCTCCTGATACTATTTTTGAAAACTAACAGCCAATTCTCGTTGTCTTTAACAATATTTATTTCGAAATTCAAATTTTCTTAGCAGGCATATTTGGTCAAATATAAATGTTACCTAAATGTATACAAATTACTACAGAGATACGTACGTGTTATTTTAAATATTCTCCTGCAACGGCTTTTGTCTGACACAATTTTCACCTTGAACTCTTACATTCTACAGTACAGTGTCTGTTAATTGTGACACACTTGTACGTAAAGCAGCAGATAATCAGGATTTTCTTTAAAATCCTTTAGAGTAAGAATATAAATTACCTTGCAGTAACTAGTAACAAAATAACTAACAATTTTACAGGCCTCATTACATATAAGTACTCTGAGACAGGATGTGGCCCCGACCGCCATTTTGGTCAAGCCGATCTACATAATAACCAAGATTTCTAAGTTCCCCTATGGTGAAGGCCGTCTATCTGGATTCGAACCAAGACCTATTCAGGTACACACCCCTTCTCTTCTCCTACTGAAAATGTTGCTATAACACGTTAGTATAAACGAATTTCAGCTCGCCAGCAAGCAATATAAACTCGCCTCAAGTGAACGGGCGACCCTGCAATATTTGGACGACATTAGTACACCTTTTCACCGTGCGAGACTGAGTGTACTGCTCTTAACATTCAAACTATGTAAAATATACAGCCGTACTCTGTTAGGACGCCGCACTTCGACCACCACCAATACTCGCGTAAAAGCAGGGTTGGCGGAAAAGCGATTTTTTTTGTGTGTATTTGTATTTACGGATTTTCCAGCATAATGCCCGCAGCTTTACTGCGAGGAAATTCGACAAATGCCTTCATGATTAGTGCCGTTCTTTTATCTTACTTACATACAGACCTACATAAACAATCTTACCAGGACAGTTTATCGTGGTTCTTTTGTTTGTCGTTGTAACCTCCCAGCCAAAACAAACAATTCTGGTCTTTGCACTATTCTTCTATCGCGTTTGATCTCAGAGCTAAAGAAATTAACTTTACTGGAACTCTAACCCAAGACCGTTTTCTGGGGCTATGGCCTTTGTTCCCGTAATATCTTCGCCGAAGCCATCCTCTTTTGGGACACGAATTCAGGATGAATTCTCGTGTTTGCGATTTTCATAAATATCCCCATGGATAGAACGCTGAAATAGGCAGCGACAGTCACCTGCCATACCCTTATCTACTCGCCATTCAAAATAAATGTCTTGCCTTGTTCGACACAAAAGAACTTAACAAACTTCCACGTGTGGCAATAGAAATCGTGAATATCTACACACTCTGGGGAGTAATCTTACACTGTAGGCCTGCTCATCTTTTATACAGTCTCATTTTTAAGCAAAGAACAAACAAGTTTTGTGCAAAAAAGTTGCCACGTCTTGACCGAGTAATTTCGCTAATTCCCCAGTAACATCATCGCATTCACTTGTTCTACCCAAGTAACGAACACATCCTCAAGATATTAAAATTGTGCACCCTTCAACCATTTCACATCATCATCACCTATGGTGCATCGGCCCGTTTTCGGGCCATGACCTCCCCGCTTAGGAGAATTCTTGGTCTTTTGAAGCGTGCATTTGTGAGTAGTGATCAATCCAGAGCCATCTATCAGTAAATCAGGAGACTTGGGTGAGAAATGACCGCTGAATTTTGCTTACGAAACATCTCATTCAT